GAAGAAGCCTTAAATTTGGAACAGCTAAGCAGGAATGTCATGGTTAGGACACTGAGGACTTTTATTCATAGGGTTGCCATAAATTGAAGATGACTTGATGGCACATAACATCTCTTTTTGCCTTTTAAATTTTTGTACAGTATTTTTTATGATTTTTGTTGTTTAATTTTATATTTTATCTGCTGTTCTAGGATACTAAAGGAGAACTAGTCATCACTGATGTATCAATGCACTGATAACCATAGGATTTAATGAGGTCACCCAGCTACAGTATGTAGCAAGAGCACATTAGAAGGCCAATCACCAATCCTGAAAGAATCCCAGCAGAGAGAGCAGATAAAGAACCCCTACCCATGAGTAGCGATATTGACAAGGAAAAGCAGTTGTGCAAATGAGGAAACATCTAAAATTTAGACACATCACAGCATTCTGGTCTCCGTCACACAATTTTTATTTCCTTAATGGCTCCCCCCCCCCCCCCCCCCCATACACTCCTCAGAAAATACCCAACTATAGGTAGATGATCAGCTGTTGATTCAGCTAGTACTGTGGCAAAAATAATTGCTTTTTTTCCATTATTCTCATTCTGTATGATAGAACAGAAATTGAAAGAGGAAGATAATTTCAGGAAAAAAAATCATGGTTTCCATTCAGGTTCTTCTGCTTATGAGGTGGCTGAGAAGCGTGCACAAGTGTACAACGAGCTTAAATCATCTGTAGCCTACACATCAATTAAAGCTCAGGGAGACGTCATGAAGTCATTCCACTGGGCTTTATCTGATTAGGAAGAGCAAGCAACCTGAGGCTGTGGATGGAAATGGAAAGCTGTGCAATGGAAATACACCCACCACCCTTGGCCAACCAGCACTTATTAGGCTAGCTCAAATAGACCACCAAAAGAAATGATAACGTGTGCTTGAGAATAACCTCCCTGCCCTCCCAAAGCAAGCCCCTTTCACGGCTCCATCTTTTCCCTGGAGCTGAACTCAATGCTCCCTTTCCACACCTGCATTCTGGAAAATAATAATTGGGCTGGGCAAAAACTATTAGGAAAAAAAGATGCTGTACTACAAACTCTGCCAATGATGAGCCCTAATAATGAGAAACTGTTGAATTCCCTGAGGAGAAATTTGGTGAATTGCCCTTGCAATGATTTAGTGTTATGGGTGTGTTCCTTTAATGTTGGTAAGTTTCAGAAGGGGGGGGAAGAGGGGGAGTGAAGTGATTGGTTGGTGACTGACTGTGGGCGGAGCTTGGAGGTGTGTGAGTTGAGGGAACGATACTTTCAGTCAGTTGCAGTCTGCACTCTGAAGAAGCAGCCTTCTCTTTAGAATCCTGTACAGTGCTGTGGAGGGCATTTTGGAGTCATAAGGAATGGGAGGGAAGTAGAATACAAGAGGACGTATCAGTGATGAGGGAATGTCATAATTTAGTATTGTCAAGTATTATATGGGTGTGAGAGATATTTTTGTTTATTGTTAACTCAGAGTCATAGGCAGTTTGATTATCAGCATCTCATCCTCAGGACCACATAGTCCAATGAAGGAACCCCCTGGCTTGGGCACAGTATTGAGGGAAAGGTAAGATTGGAATTAAATTCCTGGTGGCAGCATTGCATACCAAGAGAAAGTGAGGGAAATATCAAGACAACACAGCATTTCCACACAGATTAAAGGACAGTACTCATGACAGTCCTGTTACTCTGCCCACAAGTAGGATAGGTAATTTCAAGAGGCTATTTGCAAAAAGCTGAGTATGGAAAAATTCTTCAGTCAAGGACCAAGCCTTAAAGAGCCCAGAAAATCCACAGAGGGTAGCTGCTGTACAAATGCTTGACGTATCTGAATACTTTGTGTATACATTGTGTTGCATCAATCTTCTATGAAGGAATTCCAGAGCAAACCTTTGCAATTCATCAGCCACCAGGACTAGCACAGCCCAACCCAGGCATGTATCTCGCTAGAAGTTTGCTGAACTTCAAAATGGTCTAATTTTGGAGTGTGTGTGTTGGGGCAAGTGGTAGAAACAATTTGTGTTATTCTATGGAAAAAGTCTTTCTGTGCTCTGAAAGCTCCCATAAAACAATACAGTTGTATGGAGGCTGGTACCTTGGGTGAAGAAGAGAGCTTTGACTCTTGACAAGTATAGAAATGAAAATAATTGCAACTGTTTTGCACAGGGATAGTAACACTAAGTACAATGGTGTTACATACATGATTAGAACACTGATATCACCGCTTTCTTGGAATTACCTAGTTAACCCAGAAGATCGAACACTGGCATTACAGTCTACTTAGAAATGTTGAAAAACACTGAACTATCCTTTGTTTAAAAGTGAGGGGAAAATGTTTGAAGTGTTCAAATTTTCATGAACATTCATATGGAGGAATTTAATCGTTAAAGTATTTTTAGATTTTCCAAATATATTTTAGTGGGTTTTTCTGTTCCAGGAAATGTTGCCATCACCAGGGAAGAAACACTTCTAATTTTCTCAACAGCACTATTTTAGAGAAAGCTTGTGAAGTGCGTCCTGTACATTTATACAATTCAATCAAACAGCTGCCACTAGAAAAAGGAAAAATCTCCCAGTTCACCTTCCTGTTCCTTTAACTTGCAAATTATTTCCCCTCTTCCAAGAGGATATTCTAGGAGCCACAGTCAGATGGCAGGAACTAGAACCCTCTCAGAGCAGCTGTCAGATTATCTCCAAGAGGACAATCCAGTAGCTATAGTAAGAAAACAGCATTGTTTGCTTTGCTCAGCCATTGCCTGGAGGCAGGGTGGCACATACTTTTAAAAGACCTTAATGTTAGAGCAGGAGGGCAGTCCAAAGGGAAGGAAACCTCTGCTAAGGTAAATCAAGTCCCGATCGTAAGCAATGGTGAAGATAAAAGGAGACGAATTCTAAACCACGAATCTAAAAGGAATTGGGGGCATCAAAACTGCCTTATACTGAATCAGGGTGTCAATCCACCCCAGTACTGTTAACACTGAGAGCAGCTTTCTAGAGTTTCAGGCAGAGTGCCTTCCTACCTGAAAATGCCAGAGTTAGAACCTGGGATCTTTTGTTTGCAAAGCAAATGCTGCACCACTGAGCTATAATAAATGAAAAGTGGATGCCAAGTATCACTGGCAGAGAGAAAGAGTACAAATGTCTAATCTCCAGGCTAAAATGATGCATGTTTTTGTCTTGAGCAGTTTGCTGTGCGCTTTAGTGACACCCCCCCCCCGCAAGAGAGACACATTATCCCTGCCATCCTCATCTCCTGTTGTTCAACCAAGTCTTCAATCAACCTGATGCCCTTCAAACATGTTGAACTACAACAGTTTCTATCATCTGCAGTCCAGTAGGGGAAGGGTAGTCCAATCTCTCCTCCAGGTTGCCGGGCATTACTAAAATAACTAGAATGTCTCAAAGTAGGCCTACAGAGTCAGTGAAATTGAAAACTACACCTTCATTTTGGAAACATGAGAATGGCACACTAACAGATAACTACAACAAAATAATTAACAAAAATGTATGCTGGTCTAACAACAAGGAAAATGTGCAAAATAAGACACTTGAATACAGGATCAGGAGGTTTAGTAATATTTATTCCTAAAACTCAGTATTTTCCTAAGCTGGCAGGACACAGCCAGCTCAGAGTGATGTTCTGCATCCACAATACGAGTTTCAAATGATTTTTGTGCATTCACACATGTGAAAAACAGGTTGTTTGTACAATTTGTTCAAAAACTATCCTGTGAACTAATTTTATTTAGGAATTTGGTAGACAGTCCTCATTGCACAAGATTGTCTTTAAGCAAATTGCTTACATGACACATTTTGATGGAACAATGATAGGAACTAAAGCCTCCCTCACTCTGCCAGTAAGTAGAGGTTACTTAGCAGTAAAGTGTGGAAGAATGCTACTGAGAAGTGACACCACAAGCTTTAGGGGGGGCAAGTAGAGGATTTTGTTTCCTTTTATTCAAAAAAGAAAAAGGGGTGGGTGGGAAGACAGACAGTAAAATAATGTTTAGACTCATGCTCAATACATCACTACTTCCATCCCAGTTACACAGAAAGAACAAACAACCATGGCCAAAATATTTAAAGCAAACTGCAAAGCCAAGAAAAGGACACATTTCACTTGACCTTTTAATCTTAATTCTAGGAACATCAGTTAGCAAGGGCCTGAGTTTACCCTCATACCTACAGAGACCAGCATTTGCATTCATGGACAAACTCTAAACACTGTTCATGAACTGTCTTTAATTTCAAAGAAAATGCTTCCAGAAATGCTATTTACAGGGTAGAAATTAAAAGTGGTAGTTTTAGCCATTCAGTGGTTTCACTGATATTAATATTGCAATGTTATCAGACATTAAGAAGTGACAAGTGAGCCAGTGGAAGAAATAGCTATTACAGTAGACCCCTAAATAAACAAGATACTGTCTTTCAGGATGGCTTTACATGCATACATGGGCAGTGTTGCCATAACAGTTTCCCAGAAGAATGTTAAACCCAGTTGTTCACATTAAACAACTGACTTTAAACACATTTTGGACTTCCATACATTATCTGAAATGAGAGAGTAAAAGTGTAAAAAAAGAAAACAAAACATTATCCATTTGACATAGAAATGATGGTTATGGCAAAACTTTGTGTCCACCACATCACATACCTAATGTGGACATCTGTGTATTTTTCCTTGTATGGTAATGTCTCAAGAAGTTCACTTTTTGCAGTCAGATGAAAATGCTACCAGGAAGCCACAACTGATGGTCAGCCATTAATCTGCCGGTGATATTGTCAGTTGCTTGGCATTGGGTATGTCTTCTAGTACGTAACTGGGTTCTATCATTTCAGAGAAGGATCACAAGGCTGCCATATTTTTACAAAATCATTCCATGAACATTTATATTTGTGTCAATATTAAGCTTTTGTCTATGGCACCTAATATATGCCTCAAGGGCAAATGATTTAATGAACAAAGTTTGGAATAACCAGTCAAGACTTCAAATCAATTAAACAACTTTACTAAATGAAAAAAGAAAACTACATTTAATGTGTGTTTAAAACAAAATGGAATTAGAAAAGAGACAATTTCAAAAGAAATTCTCACTTTGCCAGAAATCTTGCATAATACGTGCCATTTCATAAAATGCAAGGTAATAGAATCCTCAATTTAACATTTGTTAAGATCATAAAGAATTTTACATTTATTGTTGCACATTTAGAATGATATAAATTGGAAGCTTCCCTTGTAAAGAATCCTATAAATTTGACAATGTTCAATAGAATTTGTACTCTTATTCAATGAAGCCTCCGCCTTTCAATTTTTATCCTTACAAACTTCTTCACATATCTTTAAACTTTGCCATTTGTCAATGTGAACTCTTTAATAAAGGAAAAGAAATACTGCATCAATTCTTGTCTTGTACAGAAATTATTGCTACTAGAGTACACTACAAAGCAGAAGTTTCTACAATAGTATATGAACGATCATGAAAATCCAGAGAAGATAATCTTTAGTGACATAAGCCTTACAATCATGTAAAACATTCACATGGCATATTAGACAGTCCAACCACCACTAGCCATAGTTAACCTACTGCTCACTTATCAACATTCATTTAAATAACCCTCCTGAAGCACTGGGTGGAGGGGTGGGCGGAGGAAAGAGACAAGGGCTAGCATTTCAAGGCTTGTCAGGGGAGGATCTTCATGTTTGGTGAGCTATGCAAAATGCAATTTAATGCAAGTATGGCATTACCAGGAAGCTAAGCATGCCAAAAGGTGTTTCATGCTAATAAAATCTAATGCAAGGTACCACGTATCAAGTTACCAACTAATAATACCATTCCTGCCCTATTTTAATTAAATGAAGTGCTATCATGAGTGTAATGTTAGTTTAAAATGGTGCAGTGCACAATGCATTCTGTGGTAATCTAAGATTAAAAAGTCTCTGTCTTATGAGAAATGTTGACTGCTGGGCTGCTGGACAAAGGGCATTACTGAAGTCACTAACTTGAGCTTGGTTGTCTTTAGTCACTATACTCCTATTAGAGGGGCACACAATTAGTCAGCAAGATTATTGGGAAGAGGGAGAACAGCAGTAGCTGTCCCAAAAAACCCTTCACAATTCCTTTTTAAGCCAGGGAACATGACTAAATACTTTGCCATCATTCTAGCTACAAAATAATAGAAATAAAAGCAATCAAGCAACAGTAAGATCACATTACACAAATTAAACATCATGCTCTCATTTGAATTAACTATTACATCAAGCCTAAATTGGGATGTTGGTCAACTTTAAAACTGTGATGTGAATACGCAACCAAAATAATTTGTTTAGATCTGATTTTACTCTATGTTGGATATTAGAACTTTGAGTATACTTGTTACAATACAGTGTTGCACATCTGTCAACTAGAAAATATTAAAGATCCTTTACCCGTCTCTTTAAGTTAAAGATGTGACATCATAAAGGGTGTCAAATGGCTGGATGGTTTTACAGTGCACACTTATTATATACTGTATATATGGAGTTTTGTCCTTAATAGAGCTGAAGATTTTTTTCTACTGTGTTCCTTCTTCACCTTTTCTTCGGAGGATTAGCTGTCCGAGGTGGAGTGACTGGACGTCCAGAGTTCAGTCCACCATATTGGTACTTTGCTTTCTTTTCAGATGGTTTCAGTATCTGAAGAGAGACAGATAAATCTCATATAAGAGAGATTCATGCCATCAGAACTCTTCCATTATATTACAAACCACAGTGAAGATCCTCTTGACCGAACATTATATAAGCAGTTTCCACAAAGCTACTACTGAGTGTAATATAGCAGATGTCCACTTCCATATAAAATTACTATACATAAGCATAACCTGCTCTTCTATGAGGTGACTTCCTATTTCAATAGTTTTTCAATATGCAGTTACAAAGCAAATGCAAAAAGTAATTTTATAGCCCATAAAGATAGTAGCCCATTCAGCTAAATCATGAAGCTTAGCGGTAAAGCACATACGTCTTACGCAGATGGTCCAGTTAAATCCCTAACATTCCACAATTAAAAGAGCTGGGAAAGAGTTCAACATGAGACTTTGGAGGTCCACTTCTAGCCGGAAGAAATAATATTGGACTATGTAGCTTTTTTAGTTTATTTTGTGGCTTGCCACCACCGCCCATGGGTGCCTGATTGCAGCTTTCAAACATCTGAACTCTAAATAAGGTAGGCTCATGGAACTAGGAACATTAAACCTAGTTGGTTCAAGAGCAACACATTAGTTTCCCAAATCTTAGTTTACCATACCTGAAAAGAACACATCAGAGTTTCATCCACGCTCATCATGCCACCAGCGTTATCAAACTCTCCACAGTAATTTGGAGCAGAAAATAGGGTAACCAGCTGTCGTTTGGCAAAGAATTCATAGCCATCTTCAACCACCTGTTGGTGAGGAAAACGAGCCAAGAATAATGTAAGACATTTCTGTAATGTAAGATTACAGGTTATGCAGAAATCATTTTGGCTAAAAGTTTTCAGAGAAGCCAAAGCAAAAAGCAATGCTATGCAACTTAAGATTCTGTATTCAACCTTGAATACCAAAAAATAATGACAAGACACAAGAATGAGAAGGTGCAAAACAGGAATAGGTTTAAAGGAATTGTAAGTTGTGTCACAAAGCTAGCTACAGAAAGATCTTCCCAACCTTTTAAAAACACAGACTACGAATGAGTTTGTACAACACAGCAATTCATCCTCAGAATATGCTATGCAGTGTGGTTTGTTTCTGGAAGAACCTATGGTGTGCATGACAGATGATCAGGCTGCCTGTCAAAACCCTGTTTCAAAAGAAAGCCTTACTTTTGACAGCCTTCAAAAGTAAGTGCTTCAGGAATGGAATGGGAAACATCTTGGATGCTTTCAAGGGGCTGTCAATTTGCAAAATCTTGGTCATGCTCACAGCAAAGAGAGCAAGTAACAGTTTCTCCAAAGTGCTAGTTGGGCACTAGCTCTCTCTGGCAATGGCCCAGGTGAGCTCAGCAAGAGCAGTAAGGGATTTATATTGCTCTTGCTGAGCAGCTCTTTAACCAATTCCCTGGGTCTGCAATTAGATCTGTCTGTTTGATTCAGATGACATGCCAATTTCTCTCAGGTCAAACAGTCCCTAGAACAAGTCAGAGTTGACAAGATGGCTCACTGTCCAAAAAACAAGCAACACTGCAGGAAGTAGTCCTAGATTCATATGCAGCTAGTTACCTATAATGAGGAATTGTGCCTTGCTAATTGGGTCAGTATAACAACAAGTAGGATCCTGTATCCTTTAATAATAGGATCCTTTAATAGAGGAGTTTGGAGTTTCAACAAGCTATCTGCAGCCAGACCTGGGGCCTTGTTCACCTGTTTACCAGCATGCACTGACTTCCTGCACTACAGTGTGTGCCTAAAGGGCAGGTCTTTGAATACTGGAAAGTTAAAAAGAGATACAGATTTAAAAAGCAGTAAGTTCATACCTGATGAGCTCGACAAATCAAATCCAAATCGTGACGGTTCAAGAATTTGCTGACCACATCAGCTCCAAAAGTGAAAGAAACTCCACGGTCATTTTCACCCCAACCCTGCACATCCTTGTCTGGATCTGACCATAGCAGGTCACAGAGTAAGCCTTAGAAAGAGAAAAAGCATACATAAATTAGGTTATAAAATGGGTCAAAATGTGTAGAATACTTTACCTAACACGGTTATGATTTTGGTAAGCATTCTATGTATGCACTTGATTTTCAAAAACTTATCCACCCTGAATGAACCTTTCCTCCATGCCATTTAATGAAATGGCATGGGAACTCATGTTGATTTCCCAAGTCTCATTAGTTCATAAGTGAACACAAACATCAATTGACAATATAATGTTCTCCCCATGGTCTGCATCTCTCATTTTCCAGTAACAGGAAAAAGCAAATGTAGCTTAGAAGGCACAATTTAGTGAACAGATCCAAAATGATGATGATGATCCCTTATCAAACAATTTGAACAAAAAATAAAAAGATGAAAAATAGGTTTTAAAAGTTATCTGGAATGGGTACTTCCCTCAAGCCAGTATATCTTCAAAGGTCCCAGCACAAACAGCCATCTTAACAATAGACAACAAGGTTGGTACCAGGTAGACCTCAGTGTGAAAATCATTCTATAGATGGTGAGGGGCAAGGGCACCACAGAGAAAATCTCCCCTCTTGTTGCCAACCTCAAAGCCTCCCTTAGAGCTGACACTTGGAGAAAGGTTGTGTAGTGATTTATTTATCCAGATACAAGTCCTGGCTCATGGGCATCTTACACTGATGGATGGAATTCCAATATTTCACTCTTCTACAGCAGTATTTCCTTAAATCCTTCTTCCCAAAGGGAAATACATATGCTGCAGGATTATGGATGCAACAAAAGCCACACATTTCTCCATATTTATAACATATCACTGTGACTCAGATTGAACTTCAAATCTGGAGTTCTTTTGTTGACATTTTAATTCTGTCATTAATTGAGTAAGCAAGTCAGCATTTCTCAGCCTTGCACTTTTAAACTGGGGATAACATTGACCTATTTTGCAGGATTTTTATAAGTAAAGTCTTTATTCTAAACATATTCCAAAGACTTAAATATGCTGCACATACTTACGTATTTTACTGCATCTATTTTGAGACTACAATTAGCAAACAATGCTTTACAAGTCTATACATTTCAAGTTTTAGAAAGTAATATACTATTAAAAAAAAGCCAGTTATGGTTGATCTAAAATAGCATCCCAAATGATTAAGCAGTACTGCTTGACTTGATCCTCTAAAATCACTGGGACAAAATGCAACTAATCTGGTCTGGATCCCACCCACAGCAGTCATAACTAGGAAACTTCTTCAATGTACTTTACAAACTACAACCCTAAATTGGTGAAATTAATAATTAATAAATTTTAGTTCCCAGTAGCACAAGTAGTATTGGGTCCCCAAAGTCTCAAGGACAGGAAGAGTAATGACATCTCAGCATTACTACTTAAAATGGTAATTACAAAGAGATGGCTCTACATTCCTACTGCAACAGTTTCAAAATATTTTACAATGAGAAACCATTTGTGCAAGCCTCACCTGTGTCAGGAACATCTGTGGGTCTCATAATTCTTCTGATCTGTTCCATTGATTGTAGATCTGGTGATAGTCCTGTCAACATCAATGGATATTAAACTAATTTTGTTTGCAGAATAGGGGCAAAAGAAGAATTTGCATTGTACTATTCTCCTGTATTTTTCACTGTAATTAATATTAAGTAATACCATGTCTATTTTATTTTATTATTTTATGTAGTTATATCTTGCTGTCTGACCCAATGTCTACCACAACAACTGATATTATAAATATAATGCTGTAATGTTACAAAAAGTGTTGAGTGATAGGAACTGAACTACTAAAGACAGGGCCATCTCCAGCTTTTTTTAAAAAAAATGGATACAAAGCTAAGCTTCAATTCTGTTCTCAGGATTCAGTCATAAACTGCATGGAAATATCCATGCTTCATTAGAAGTACAAACAGTTCTTCATTTGACAGCTGTGTTCTTTGATACATGCACAGAGAACCATGGTGTGCAAGATGTCTAAGGAACACTCATTCCCCATAGTTAAGAAGCTTGAATTAAAGAGCTTTCCAGTTTCCTTATTTGGAAAAGCTTTTATCCTTCTACAGATGCAACTTAATTTACTTTTGAGGAGAAGTAAAAATATTCCACCAAGCAAAAAGACTCTCAAATTCAAGGAGGAATCATACTGAAAGAATACCCAATAATGACAATGTTAATAACAAATACTCTATCTTACATGTAGGTATTAAAATTAATTTTATTTTAAGCTAATGCCTATAAAATAGTCTAAAACAACTATTTTAAGAAGATAGTTCTCTAAACTTAAGCAATGAAAGGTAAAAACATTAAGTTGGGTTGCATTTAGTACTGGAAAACCGAAGTTTAAACCAGTAAAATGTCTAATTGATATGAAAAGATATGGAAGAGATGAGACAAATAAAATTGTCCATCAATGTCAAGCCTCTTTTGGTATTTTGGCATGCAACACACATTTCACAAATGTACTGAGAAGCAGCTTCTTGACTTGTGTGCCTAAGGAAGATCCAACATTTATTCAGTTATTCACTAAGGACTGTATACACCCATTTCTTCACATGGTAATTGTTTTGACTGAGAAGAGTACAAGCCACAGCAAGACTGAGATTTTCTTCCAAAACCAGCTCCTATAAAATCTATGGCAATTTATTCAAGGACGTGAGCATTTGTTAGAATCCAGTTCTAATATGCATTCCTAAGGAAATCTGTAGCACCCTAAACCATCATACAAACTATCAAGAACATACAGCTAGTGTAAGTTATGCTGAAGAAATGTTTCACCTTGATCAACCTGCTTTTCAGTAAGATATACTTTATTATAGTCTCTTTGGCATAGGTATAACAGAGAAGTGGCACAATATGAGCACCTCTTATATCAAAGTGCTTACAGTACAAGATGTTTTTGTTTTCTTTCTTTCTTTCTTTCATTTCCTCCATGCCAAACACACAGCAAGATCAATGCAGCCAATGGGTCTTTTATCTTGCATACTAACCAGTAGTTCCCCTGGAAATGTGGTTAGGAAACCAAACAACCTGCTCTAACTTTTGGAAGCTGTTCCCAGTGCAACACAAGGCAATCATAGTTCAGAAAGTAAATGTTTCAATATGTGTGCTTCAGGAACATGCATCTAAGTGATAGCTTGTTGGATTGTTCACAAATACAGAATAGTGAGATGTTAGATCTAGACAGAACTTGGAGGTGTATGCAAAATTCACTGAATTTAATGCGATTTCTGAACACGCATGCATAACACTGCACTGTTAGAAACTAAAAGGGCCCTTGGTAAAAGGCACTAGAAGGGCACAAGATACATAATGCATAACATAAAACTCCGCTGAAACACCAAATATATGCATAGTTACAGTTGTGGCCACAACAAAACAAAACAAAAACAAAATGGAAGACCGGCAAGAAGACCTTCTCTGAAAACCAGTATTGTATCCAATATATTAAAGGTCTTTAAGAGGTACAAATTATATTAGGTATTGAAATTAGAAAGCTAACATGGGGGACTATAGCAAGTTCTAAATCAAGCTGGTATACAATGAAAGATGAAGAACCCATCTTGATGAAAATGCACTTGCACACAAATACATCATGAAAAGACAAGACTCACTGGAAAAGACAAACATGCTATGGAAAATCAAGGGCAGAAGAAGAGGCTGACCAAATATGAGAGGGATTGAATCCATAAAGGAAGCCACAGCTTTCACCTTAGAAGGCCTGAGCAGGACTGTCACGGACAGGACATTTTGGAAGGCTTTCATTCATAGGGTCACCATACATTGGAAGCAACTTGACGGCACATAACAGCAACACAAAGGCAAAACTTCACAGCACAGAAACTTGAACAATGATGTTAAAAAAATTAGTCAATGCATGACTATTTTTTCATGTGCTAGCATTTAACAATTAAACAGGTCATGGAAGTACTTTACCAAGGAGAGAGAACAAAAAATCACTTTTATCAATATCCACAGAAACAAGTTACAGAGCTTTTTCAAGCATGGCTCATGTTAAATAAGGTGAATAAAATGAAGTGCAGGAGGAGGGAATGGAATAGCAAGACAGATTTACACAAGTGAGGTGAATTGTCTCAATGTAAGCAAGAACTTTCAACAGAAGAACACAGAAAGCAAGATCAATTATCTGGGGACTATGGCTGTCAATATAAATTATGAATGTCAACATGTAGATGGAAGGATAACACAAGCTAAGACACTGAAGCCAAACTAACCAGGACTATTTAAGGTATCTTTCTTAAACATTATGTTGCACAATTTGACAAATATTTCACTAGATATCCCACAGCAATTTTAAGAGCATAAAACAGTTTTAAGTAGGCTTCACCGAATATCCATAGTCTGGCTCTGTAGAGAAGTACTGAAACTTGGATCTGTAATATAGCACATTACAAGGTGGCTAGATACTGGTAGTCTAGAGTTTAGATAAACAGGTTTGAAAGCAATACTCTTCTTTTTAGATGTGGCCTACATCTTCCATTCCTATGCTACAAAATGAATTATCTAAATTCAAATGAAGCAGTGGAACTGCAATGCCAATTCAACAACTAAGACAGTGTGAAGAGATCCAGTGTGGTGGAGTGGTTAAGAGTGCAGGAATGGTAGTTCTGGTTCTAGTCCCCTCTTAGCCATGGAACTCTCCCTGGGTAACTTTGGGCCAATCACAGACTCTCAGCCCAACCTCAGAGCTGAGAGTTCTGAGGATAAGATTGAGAGGAAAAGGAGAATTATGTTAGCTGCCTTAAATTCCTTGAAAGGAAAAAAAATCAGGATATCAATATAATAAACAAATAAAAGATATGCACTTCATAGTTTTGACATTATGTGGGAACAAGGAAAAAATCCATAGGGAAGCTGCATTACATCTTCATAAAGAAATACGGTAGAGTACCACATAGGAAAAAAGATATTAGACTCACAAAGCAAAATAGGTTACAGATTTGCTTTGTTACATTCTTATTCAAACTCTGGTAGACTATTTACTTTCAAGCTTAACTGGGCAACATCCAAAGTCAGGCAAGACTTCTCACACAACAGGACTCCCCCACTTCTCTTCCCCCCATGATTGCCCCTCAGCCTTCTGGAGTAAATCTGGGGACACAGAAGGGCTGCAGGTAAAGAGGGAATCAATTTCGTCAACAGTGTCTGTTCTGCTGGAAAATCTATCCTGCTGAGCTTTACACACTATGTTTATTCCAAAGTTATAAATATATTTTAAAAAACACTACCTATTACAACACTATCAGAGATGCCAATTAACCACAGAACAACCTTAGGTTATATCACTGAAACAATTCCAAAAAGCCAGTATTTTTAATGAAGGAGCTTTGCTTGTCAGCACTCCAGAAAGTAGTCTAAAGAGATCTTACCCTCTGCAATGACACACATAAGCACAGTACACCCATGTCAGCCCTGCATTTCTCAAGGGGTAAACCTATTAGTATGCCAGTGCTGAACCTTTAAAGGTTGGGTAAGCAACCATGCATCATGGGCACCTATGGCCTTTTTTATATACTGTTATGGACACAACCACAAAATGGCTACCATGGAAGGCATGGGAAAGGACCAGTTACTTGCCCAAAAAACTGAATTATAAGGTGGAAATAGAGTGTGAGCCACAAGACACTAAAAAACCCCACAGTATTCAGTGCCAACCGCAATCCTAAATGCCAGTGAAGAAATATGTTAAGTAAAAATGGGGAGGTAGATCCCCTTGGCGAACACGAGGAAAGGTGTTCACTGGTCCCATGTTGCCTACTTTTAATGGGATATAACAGAGTCTGAAGTAGTCTTGAATAATGATGGGAATGGATTAAATTATATATATTCTTCTTTCTGGGCCCCATTCCTTCAGCTAGTTTGTGAAGGCAAAAGTGGTTTTACACCACCTTATCCAGTCTGTCCTGGGCTGTTCCCTTCTCAGTACTATATGGTCTGACCATCTTAATTGGCCTCTTTAAGTTGCAGGTGAAGGTTCTGTGGTAAGATGCCCTCTTCAAATGGTGCAGTAGATTATAGGTTCAGAATTGATTGGCTTAAAAGAATCTGCTGAGCTGCTAATGTTGGGGATTATAAAGTTTCTGTCTCCACCCAATAATGCCAACTAACAGAGGTCTATGTGCTAAATTAAGTCCTGGCTGGAGTTCTGCCCTGTGGAAGGCACTTTGCTCTTGATAACTTATGAGGCAGCCATTGCATTGCTTTAGTGTGTTGCACTGAAGAATCTGTGCAATCAAAAGTGAATTCCATCCCATCTCCTCTCTTTCTCTGCATTTTTCCTTTTATTTTTTTATCTCAGTTTGAGTGTAGTTCCTTCCAATCCAATCCTAATTTCAGGGTTTTGAGCTAGGTAATGAGCTACTTAATTTTTTGTTCCAGAGTAGGAAGAATGTAATACAAGAGGACAGCTTGTACACTTATTCCAAGCAACCCACTAGTTCTGTGAGAGTTGAAGTTGCCTCTTTCTTTCAGGGCTCAGCTGATGATTAAAGGGGTGGAGGCAGCCTACTGGTAAAAGTTACCCCT